CCCTTGGGAAAAGAGTGGACGGTGCAGTATTGGGGATTTCCCAGGGGCCATCCATGTCCGTAGCAAGAGTCAGCCTCAGCATCCTTGCACCTCTACCACACCCAGGCACGCTCAGGGAGGACCAATAATTTCTGGCCCTTGTTAGTGGATTATGTTAGCCAAACCTCTGAGAAACCTTCAGTAGTCTCCATGGCTGTGGAGTCATTTGGTGGTCCCTAGAGAGGCGAACCAGACCATTCCTATGGCTCTGCTCCATGACCTGCGCGGTCCACTCTTCCTGAAGCGTGCCCTGCCAGTTCATTCATTCCTTGAACCAGTGTCTTGATGTCACTGTTCCTGTTGGCCCCTGCTCTGGCTCCCGAACCCTGCTTTCATCCTGGGGAGAGCTATGCCACGCATAGCACCTGCTGGGCCAGGCATGGCACTGAGCGTCTGTCTTCCTGGAGTTTGCCTGCCAGGACAGGGTCAACAGGACCTTTCAGGGCAGTGTGCCGAGCCCTGTGAGTGTTCAGAGGCTGAGATGAGAACAAGCAATGACTGAGACAGTCCCCAGGGAGTCTAAGTCCCCATCATCATTCAGACCTCCCTGCTCACTCGGCTGCTGCAAATGTCTGTGGTGTTTTTGTGCAGAGTAGGGAGATCTCTCTTCTCTCTCTCTCTCTCTCTCTCTCTCTCTCTCTCTCTCTCTCTCTCTCTCTGGTTGGACTGACCAGCCGAACACAGGCTCTCTGGCTACTGTAAAACTTAAGGAGAAGGACCTCTAGTGCCTCTGCCTCCCCAGCTGGGTAGCATCTCCCTTGACCCCTCTGCCAAGGATCTTTGTCTTCTGAGAGCAACACTGTAGACCATGTGACACTGTGTACCTGGTCTCCCCAGGCTGGAAGAGGGTAACCCTCATGCCCTGTGAAGCTGCTGGGGACGCAGGGGTGGGGGGGGGGGGGGGGACATGGACAGCCCGTGGTCAGCAGGCATCTTCAGCCTGTGCTGCTGCCCTGCGCCTCACAGAGCTTCAGCCATAAAGGACCTGAGTCTTTAGCGTTCTCCAGTCTCTGAAAGGAGCAGGATGCTGTCAGGCACCGTGAAAATGTGACCTTTGAAAATTTACAAGAGCCGGGGTTTAAAAAGCTGCTGTGTTAATGATGCATCCCATTAGCATCTCATTAAAGGGAAGCCGAGAGAGATGCCCGGCTCAAGCCCAGTGATGGGCAGATAGGGCCACTCTGCAGAGCTGGTAGGGGAAGGCTATGCTGGTGAGTCTCTCCTGATGAGTACCTCCATGTTACTGGAGCAGCAGCCAGGGCCAGGGAGAGGCAGAAGGTCTGAGTCTGGGTGCCTTCCCAGGTGTCCCAGAGAATGGCAGTGGGAGGAAGTGAGACATGAGAGAGACCCTGTTGAGCCCACTTCTGCCCTATTGGCTAGGACGCTGGTCTTTCTTGTACTGGCAGCCCACTCTCTGCCCCCATCCCCACCCGACCACACCCCTGCTCTCCTTCCCTAAGACAAGCCCTCACTCAAGCTGGGAACAGCCTGGATTGCTCCTAGGGATTCCAGATATGTAGGAATTCAAAACCGTGAGAGGGAAGTTCAAAGCTACAGTCACAGACCCATACAGGGTCCCAGGCACCTCCAGAATCTGCATCTGCATGTGATTATATGGGGCCTGGAGCCCTCGGCAGGAGGAAAGGCCCCTTAGTCAGGCTTCCTGCCTCACATACTATACTGGTCAGTCCATATATGGCACCTGAAAGTCTGGACATCTCAACAAACGGCACACTCCTACATTTCAGTTGCTTGTGGTCAATCCATTTATGACTCACCTGGAAGCCCTGGACCTCTCAGGAAAGGGCACACCACTCCTAACATCCAAGTTGTTTGTTGACAGAATCAAGAAAGGAATATTCACTTGATTGCTTTAATAAAATAAAATTCCTGAGCTGCAAATTGCTTGCAGCTTAAGATGTTGCTAGCGCAGAATAGAATGTGAGTGGTTTTATTTATCATTCCTAAAGGGGGTGTGTGGTGGTGGGGAGGCGGGGGGGGGGGGCAGGGTGGACTTCAGAGAGGTTTTCTTCAATCTAAGAAACTGCTTGTACTGATCATGCAAGAAAGACAGAGTCAAGCAAGAGGCCTGGAAGCCGGGGAATCTCCCTGTGGCTCCGGATCAGCCTATGCACACCCAGAGAGAGCACCCAGCTTCAATTTGGGGTACACCAGCATTGACATTGTACACCTGAGCCTTTAAAGGGAATCACCTGGGTCCAAATGGCCTGCATCACCATTGCCCTGGCCAGTACAGAACACAGAGCACCAGCCCAATAGTTATTCACTAAAGAATAGACCAAGGCATAAATGAGTGACACACTGCATAAGCCTAAGCAATGTGTCGGGGGAAAAAATATGCAATTTTTCAAGCCCAGAAACTCCCCCCTAATTTCGGGGCAAACATTAGAATTCCCAGAGTTTTATACCATAGAACCCGATGGCCCAAACTCAAGGGAAAAGGAAAAAAAAAAGAAAAAAAACAATCAGAGCTTCTGACAGAAGTGGCGGGCTCAGGGTTTGTTTCCAGGAGGTTTCCCTCCCTGGTTAAGTTGCCATGTGGACCTGCGGACCCAGCAGTGCAGAAATGGTGACAGGGAGAGAGGGAGAGGACTCTTGAGATCTTAAGCAAAGCTGCTGTTTCCTATCTGGGAAGCCTCTGGGAGATGGGCAGCAGAGAGGGGCTACAGCGCCCCCTCCTGGCGGAAGAGGTTTCCACATTGTCGGCGAAGAGCCTTGCTGGCCAGGCGCCTAGGGGTCCCAGCCGCGTTCACACGTGCGTGTCCTCTAAACAAGGCTCTTGAATAGGGCAGAGCACGGACTCCTTCCCCCTCAGGTGCCTCTGGTTTCAGGAGCAATTTCTGTGCCTCTAACCCCACCATGAGCCTGGAGCCTGGAAATAAAGGGCTGCAGATGGCTAGATGGCTTCTGCCTCTAGACGGGGCATATATTGAACGTTGCCTCTTCCGAGAACCGGAGGAAAGCCTCCACGGTGTTTCCTATGCCTCGCTACCATTATGGCTATGCCCCAGACCCCCCCTCCTTTTGTATCTCACTCCCCCCTCAATCTCATCCATGCCACAAGCAGGCGTGCCCCCGCCCCCCCCCATCAGATCACTCGTCCAAGGAATTGTTCTTTTTCTTTGTTCTTTTTTTTTCCTTTTCATCCTCCTTTCCATGTCCTGTTCCCGGAAGTGGAGCATCTGAAGCAAAGGCCAGAAGTAAAGTGCACCCTAATGCACTTACCTCTGCACTGCCCCGGGTCTCAATGCTGCCTGGCTGCTGCTCTCCCAGCAGGCCCCGCTGCAGGCTCTGTGTGCCCAAGTGGGATACAGCCAAGACTCCAAAAGCCCTGCCCAGCCTATGGCCCACACCCCCTGCTATGTGCCTGGCCCAGGACCCGGGGGAATCACCCTGCCCCAGGGCCCCCCAGGGAGCTCTGCCTCCAGCTTCATCCTTGGGCCAGGCTCTATCAGAAGATGCTACAGACCTTGCGACTTTCACCTGAACGTGCTTCTTCTGGGAGTGTCCCTGGAGAAGAACTTTGTCCCTCATCCCCGGCTCACGTGCTTCCCTAGGCCAAGCTGGGTTCCTCGGAGCTGTGACTACTGAGGTCCTCGCCCCTTGGCACCCCAGTTTTCTTATCCCAGCATCTACAATATGTTTAGGATTTATTTATTTTTTTTTTAATTTGTAAGTAATGGCCGTTGTCGAAAATTTGGTATTTAGGTGTGGTGATACACAACTGAAATCCTAGCACTTTGAAATCCTAGCACTTAGGAAGGTCATGGGTTCAAAGGTAGCCTAGAATACAAACCCTTTAAAAAAATAAATGAAAAGATCTGGGGATGTGGGTCAGTGGTAGAACACTTGCAAAACACGTCCAACATCCTGAGTTCGATCCCCTGAACCATATTATTTTGATAAACGCAAACGAAGGTCGACAGGAAGTTACCCATAATCCTCTCACCCAAGGATGACATCGTGCTGACATTTGGGTCACTCCCCTCCCACACATGTTGTTCAACAGCAGGACGGTTTGCATCGGGAGGTCCCATGGGCGTAATCTTGGGGCCTGCTTTTCTCATCAATATCCCAGCGGGAACATTTTGCCTTCTCATTATACATTTCGAGAAAGCATGCTTCCTAGGGGCCCGCGTTCTATCAGGACTGTAGCCTCGGGGGCTACTGTCACCGGACATGTGCTTTCATTCTGAGAGTCCTTTTCTTGTCCATCTAAACAGCTAAATCAGAAGGCGAGCTCACATAGCAAGCAAGCCCCCTTACTGCTCTGAGAGGCCATTGGTTCTTCCTACCCTGGGGGCATGACCTGACCTGTCCTACCAGCTTCCATAACCCCCGCCCTTCCTCCGTGGGTTGACTGGGTCTCAACAGCATGTGTAGGAGCAGGGTGGAGAATATGCTGTAGCCCTCATTTGCCAGCTGATGACGGTGTTCTGCGGAGCAAACCTTTTGCCAGCTCGTTAGGAATTCTCAGTCAGCAGCCACAAGTGAAAGTCCTGGGCACCTGGTGGACTGAGACTTGAGTGGGTCCAGTCAGTGCTCAGCCCATACCCTGGATAAGTGGGTAGCATTTGGGTTACGGTGGGTTACCCACAGTCTGAGGGCTGAGGTGTCCCCACACCAGAGAATGCTCCCATCAATTGCAGTATTTTCCCTGGGATAGGCAGCTGAGTAGAGAAGCCTGGTAAGGCACTGAGAGGCCAGGAGCTCATCAGAGGCCAAACCTGTAGGTGTACTCTGTCCTGATATCCCATGATCCTTGCTGGGAAGGAGGCAGAGGTCCCAGCATTAGTGGGACTGGATGCAGGCTATCTCTTTCTTTCTCTGCCCATGAACCACAGACGAAACTCAGGTTTCAAGGATACTGCTGAGGGAACAGGTTCCAGACAGGGTCCTGGGACAGTCTATGCTCACCATTCTCATCCTACTTCCCACAGGCTCCGGGCATCTCCAAAGCCGACAATCAGTCCCAGGGACTCACGACCAGCATTCGATGGGGCCAGACGCCCATCAATCAGTCCACACCCTGGGACACCGATGAGCCGCCCTCCAAACAGATGAGGGAGAGCGAAAATCCAGGTGCGTGTCCATCAGCTGACAGACACCCCTACTTGCCAGGTGCTCTGTTCTTCTCCAAAGATCCTGATCCACGAGTCTGCAGAAGCCCAGATATCAGGCTTGGGATGTGTGGGACCCCAAGTTTCTCAAGTCACACTTTCAGGGAGATTTTTTTTTTTTTTTTTTTGCCTTGCCCATGGTTACATGAGCATGCTCTGACCCCAGGTCTAGGATTTCCTCCTTCCCTATGGAAGCATCTAGGTCCTCCTGCTGACAGCTCTGACCAGAACAAAGGACCTCCCACTGCTCCTGGATCTCCCCACCTCCCCACCCCATCCCTGCTTTGGTACAGCTACCTAGAGATACCCCCAGCTCCATGCCAGATAAACACCGCAGACCCATCAGTCACTCCACCCTAAAGCTCACGAGCTCTGGTCCCTTCACTTTCCAGCTATTCTGTCCCTCTAAGGTGCAAAGCCACAACCCAGTGCTAACAACGCATTTAGCGCCTCTCCCGCACTCTCCCTTCAGCACCCCACATTGGTCATTTGAGCCCTAGAGCACAGCTGTTCAGCCCACAGACAGCATGTCCTGTCCCAGCGGTCAAACTCAAGTTTGCCACAAGGCCACTGTGATCTCAGGTGCTATTTTTTTGTTTGGTTGGTTTTTGTTTTTTTTTTCCGAGACAGGGTTTCTCTGTGTTGTTTTGGTGCCTGTCCTGGATCTCACTCTGCAGACCAGGCTGGCCTCGAACTCACAGAGATCCCTCTGGCTTTGCCTCCCGAGTGCTGGGATTAAAGGAGTGCACCGCCGCCGCCGCCCAGCCCCAAGTGCTATTTTTTTTTTTTTTGCATGTTTTGTTTTTTTCTGTGTTCTGTTCCCAGTTCCCCTAGAATTGTGCCCTTCGTAGCCCGTCTTAGCAGCTTCCAAGTCATGGAGTAAAAACAGTGATCAGGGCTTGCTGTAAGTGACTAGAGGCTTCTCTGTAGGTCTCCAGCCGCTTTCAGGCAGTCATCTCATTTAAAAAAAAAAAAAAAAAAAGAATCCTCCCCATGGCATAGCATTTCAGAGCTGTCTGTGGCCTTGTCAGCCAGGCTCCGACATTTTGATGTGTGTTCCCAGCTTCCCTGGCTAGTCCTGGGGAGCACTGAGTTTGAGGTGACAGCCCTTGGCCTTGAGACATCCAGCCATATTGGATCACATTGATATCACCTCCTCTGTTCAGCTGGGACATGGTGCCCTTCCGCCCCCCCCCCCCACCCATTCTAGAGTCTAGCCAGCAATACATTGCCAATGTTTCTGGCTTGCAGTCTCCCCCTGTCATCACGCAAATGGTAAATATTACTTACACATTATTGTGTGCCTTGTTCTGTGTGTGATCTCAAGGCTTGCAGCGGTCCTAGGCGCTGGTACTACTGTGCCTGCTGCAGATGAGGAAATTAACACGGGAAAGGCATGCGTGTCACTTATCCCGGAACCAGAACCAGGACTCAGAGCTGGTCCCTTCTGATACCTCGTCCTCACTCAATGCCCCCTGCTGGTTTGAGTGTAGCTGTGCCCTCTGGGCTCCTGCCCTCCCTCCTCATCTTAGGTCTGAAAGGGAACTCCTAGCCCTTCTAGCCTCCAGGGCTCCCTGTCTCCTGCCTCAGTCTCCCCATTCCCAGTCTACACCCAAACCCCAGAGGAATCATGAAAACCAAGGTTGAGTCTGAATAATGGAGGCCCCAGCCAAGACTCATTCAGTCAGAGGTGGCCGGACTAGAATTCCCTGTCATCCTTATCTCCCAGCTTCCGCACAAGCCGTCTGGGTCACCTCAATGTCCATTAAGCTCCAGGTAGACCCAGGCCTTGCTCTGCCTGACTTGGGCACCACTGGCCTTTCCTCTTTTATCGCATTCTAAGAGGTGTGGCTGGCCTTCCTTGTTCTCCTAAAATTACCTCGGGTTCCTCGGGTTTCCAACAGCACCAGCTGTGTGGAGGGAGGGTGTGTGAGACAAGACCTGGAGTCCCCTCAGATCTTTTTCAGGATTTCCCAGACTCCATCCACCTCTTTCCAGGTGCCTAGGAAAGACCTTGTCATCTTCAAGGTCCACTGGGCTCACCTGAGATTCCCACAAACGCTGTCCACGGCCAGCCTTCTCTTTGCCTCCCCCCACCCACCACGATTCTCCAGCAAAGACGTACATACACCACCACCCATAGGCAATGTCTGCCACGTGTCTGCAACACCGTTGGCGTTACTTTGTTTTCTCACAAAGATGCGTTCCGCCTTCTGTTCTCAGTCCATATTAACAGATTAAAAAAGCATGAGGCTCACAGAATCAAAGCAACTTGCCAGGGCTCTTGGCTCCTAGGTAGGAGAGCTGGAGTGAGCATAGGTCTCTCTGAAGGCCTCTGATTATTTTCTCTCGGCTTTGTTGTGTTTCATCTCTCCCAAACAGATCTTTCTTTATTTTCTGGACCCCCATAGTCATTTGTCATTTGTCACTACACACTTTTTTTTTTTTTTTTTTTTTGACAAAGTCTTGCTATGTAGCCTTGGTTGGCCTGGAACTCCCTATGTAAACCAGACTAACCTCAAACTCATGGAGATCCGCTTGCCTCTGCCTCCCTCCAGAGTGCTGGGATTAAAGGTGTGCACCCCTGCTTTATCACATTCTTTTTTTGTTTTGTTTTTTTTTTGTTTTTGCTTTTGTTCTTCGAGACACGGTTTCTCTGTGTAGCTTTGGAGCCTTTCCTGGAACTCGCTTTGTAGACCAGGCTGGCCTCGAACTCACAGAGATCCGCCCGGCTCTGCCTCCTGAGTGCTGGGATTAAAGGCGTGCGCCACCACCGCCCGGCTGCTTTATCACATTCTTAAACTGCTGAGTGCTTGGACACAAATGTCTTAGCCACTGTTGTTACTCCAGGTCCCAGCCCAAGGCCTGGGACAGTTGATGTTTGTTGAGCGAATATGTAACTGGCTGAATAACGTCTTCCATCTCCCTTACAGGCACAGGGCCATGGGTGACCACGGTGGCCGCCGGGAACCAACCTTCCCTGATTGCACACTCCTATGGAGTGACCCAGCCTCCCACCTTCAGCCCGGCTGTGAACGTCCAGGCCCCGGTCATCGGGGTGACTCCCTCACTGCCTCCCCATGTGGGGCCCCAGCTCCCGCTGATGCCCGGCCACTACTCACTCCCACAGCCGCCCTCCCAACCACTGAGCAGTGTGGTGGTGAACATGCCTGCCCAGGCCCTGTATGCCAGCCCTCAGCCCCTGGCGGTATCCACTTTGCCTGGAGTGGGGCAGGTAGCCCGCCCGGGACCCACTGCTGTGGGCAACGGCCACATGGCAGGGCCTCTGCTGCCTCCACCTCCGCCAGCCCAGCCGTCCGCTGCTCTCCCCAGTAACGTCCCTGCCACCAATGGGCCCCCCACCACAGACTCGGCCCATGGGCTACAAATGCTACGGACCATTGGAGTGGGGAAGTATGAATTCACCGACCCAGGGCACCCTAAAGGTAAGTCCTGTCACACACTCCACTGTGTGCCTGGTCTGTACCTCCCTGCCTGGTCACTCCAACACAGGGAAGACAGAAATGTGTTTATGGTAGCTCTCTCATTGACTTCATCTAACTAGAAGCTGTGGCAGAAACTCCTTATTTAGGCGGGGGGCGGGGGGGGGGGGGTAGGGGAGGTAATCCAGGCAGAGAGACAGTATGGAAATTGAGACAAGCAAGAGCAGGATTCACAGAGCAAGGAAAAAAAAAATGGGAAGAAGGAAGAGGGAGCCTGAAAGTCCAGCGCCCAGGGCATGCTCACCCCAGGCTAGACCAAGGCTAGGTTGAGCAAGAGCTACCCACTCCTCCTAAGGGTCACCAGAACAGTCCATGGCGGCCTTTACCACTTTGCATCCATAAAGACATTCAAAACACCATCTGCCTATTCCGGTCAGGACAAGCCTTCTCCACCAAGCCATTGATAAGAGCCAGACCAGGGCCCAGGCACACTCCTACCACCATGAGCCACTTAAGGTTTTGGTTTTGAAGGACTGAAGGGGTCTCTGTGAGTCCCTGGGAAGAACAGCTCCAGGCTGGCCTTCAGGGGATCCCAGACCCCAGCTCCCAGCCCCGGGGGAGTTTCCTTACCAAGAGCTCAGAGGTAGTTCCTGCGGTTGGGGAAGGGAGTGCACCACATGGTTCTCAGCCTGGGCCGCAGCCTCAGCATCAGGGCGCAGGACATTAGAGGTGGGTTCTAGTCCCAGGGTCTGACTGAGCAGGACAGTGGGGCCAGGGCTGGGAGGGGAGGCTTTGAGGTTGCCTGTCTTAAGATTTGCCTTTCCTGGATGCAGGGGCATGGCCAGACAGCTCAGGTCCTGATCCTGCAATATGCAGAGGGATGGTTATGAGGGCTCCACCCGGCTCCGCAGCGCCAGGGACAGGAGGAGGCCAGAGGGTCTCTGCCTAGCTGCCTAGCACTCTAGCCTGCTAGAGTGCCCATGTCTCCTCCAAAGGGACCAGTAGGTGGTGCTACATAGTGGACCCAAACTAGCCGTGACTTTTCCTCAGATTCCCCTGAAAGTCCGGCTCAGGGGTCCCTGCCTCTTAGCGGAGTAATCCTGCCTTTAGTCACTCTCTGCCCGCTGTTCTCCAGACATTTGTCACTGTCCTTCTGAGCTGTTCTCCAGTCTTTCTGAGCAACCCCAGCCACAAAAGCCAGTGCCTAGCTCCCTGTGGGGTTTCACTCCGAACCTGTGTGAGCTCTGACTGCCTTTGTTTGGGAAATCAGTACTAGTTTTAAATGACAGAAATTATAGAAAATTACATCTGAGATCTGGTAAACCCTTGCTTTGTTTAAAATTTATTTTATATATATATATATATAGAGAGAGAGAGAGAGAGACTAAATTGATTTCTTCTTTGAACTGTTTTGGTTTAGCAACCCCTCTCTTTGAAAAAAGAGACCGCCCCAAAAGAACAAAAGCACGCGCGCACACACACACACACACACACACACACACACACACACACACACAAACAAACACACTCCCACTTCATGAGCCACCAACTCTGACACAAGAGGCTGTGGGGTCCCAGCTGTCCAACGACTATCCTAAAGCTAGAAGCATTAGACAACATTAGTGTCCCCACAGGGAGAGGCCTGCTAAGGCCGATGAAAGGTCTTGCTGGTTTTCCAAGTTCCAGACATGTATCTAGAGAAAAACTGTTTTGTACAGAAGGGAACCAGCTTAGCTGACCCTAGAATTCCCTGGTCTAGGGCTGGACACTGACCTGGAATCTCTCTCTCTGAACATTGCTAGAAACAGGTTGCCCCTGAACATCCTCACCCTTGAGATGGGGTGACACAGGTTGCTAAGGTCGGGCTGCTGAGCCTACTAGGTCATGAACCATGAAGAGCTGCTCCTGGGACAACTGTGGAAGGCCAAAGAGTGCGGCCTGACCTCTGCGGCCCCAACCCATACAGGGTCATGTGGCCCCATGCCGTTCGCTATATCAAGCCCCATAGGGTAGATTGGGCCTGGGTGAGAGGCAGGAAGCAAAACCCAGAAAGTATCTCCTGCTCCATCGTCTGGGGAGCCTTTGAGGTCTTCCAGCTCTGGCCAGTGATTGTGGGTGACCTGTCCAGCACCCCGATTTCCATTGTTGTCCACCGGACCAGCTGTTTGCCCAGAGATTACGTTAATTCACGGGTCTGTTTATGGCCCTTGCTGGCTGGTAGATCTGCCTTGTATTTGTGAAGGAAGACAAGGGACTCTATGCATACAATGCTCAACACTCGAGCCTCGGTGGGTTTTTATTTTTTTAAGTAAATTCTCCTTTCATTTCTAATCTTAAAAGCCTTTCTTGCTGAAGCTATAATTTATCTGTCAGATCTAATGTCAAACAACTACATTTAGGGGAAAAAAAAAAAGAAACCCAAATTTTGAAACCAAATCTTTGCAACTTGCCATGGGAGAGTCATAATCCCGACAGCACCACGTGGGTTTGGATTTGGGTCACTTTTAATTTTGCCCATAGGGATTTTTACATCCCTGAAACTCAATTGATTTCACACTCCTAAATGACAGACAGCTGGTTCCAGGCGGGAACAGGAGGCACCACATGATGTTATCAACACAAATCAGAACTCCACTTTAAAAAAAAAAAAGGAAAGAAGAAAAAGAAAAATTTTCTTTTTCTCCTAGTGTCTGTTTGAAACCTTGCCCAACATTATAATAAGATCCACCATGCACAATCTAGCTCATTACAATCCTGTGATTTTTGCCTTTACTATTGTTTGATGAGACAACCTGGCCTCTCGTGGGGCTGAGTAATTATGCAGAGAGAGCCCCCTCCATGAAGAACAGGTCTTGCCAGCCAGAGGGATAGGCCACTGGTATTTTTAGACTTCATTAGTGCCCTGATTTAAAATTTCACATTTTGTTTCTTGTAATTATCTTCCGATCGACTGAACGAAATTTTCAGCCGAGGCTCTATTAGTCCGCCTTTCCCAAAAAAAGGGCTTTGGGACTTTAATTTAAAACTTAACCAATTGAAAAAGAAAGGTGGTGTGCAAAATGCCTTTTGATTTGCTGTAGGTCAAGCGATTGTCTCTCATCTGTGGCTAGAGAAGCCAGCATGCCTGCGGTTTGCTTTAATGAGTGTTATTTAAATGCATTGAGCACATATAGATTTTCTTAAGAAACTTACAAGATAAATCTTTCTTTCTCTAAGAACAATTTGAGGGTGGGAGCAAGCTGTGGAATTTTTTTTTTTAGATTATATATTGAAAGGTAATTAAAAATAGATTTCATGTGTGCAAAGTGATAAGGGAGGAAAACGGAATTAGTTCCGTCTGAATCTTTATAAAAGACCCGGTGTGTTTGTCTTGGCATTAGATGGGCACAGGCCCCCGGGCTGATCCTCTGGGAGAGGTACAGCCAAACTCAGGCCTATGCGGAAACCAAGGTCTAATGACCCTGTTCCTAGAGATCCCTGGGAGGTCAAGCCGAGGTGCAGGCTGGGTGAGGTATTTCTGCCGTCTTTCATCAGGGATGGTTGGTGGCTTAGTCATGGCTGGGAGCCTCTAAAATTCCCAGACCCCTGGGCCCAGAGGCTGTCTTGTTTTCTCCTTGAGTGTCTGGGGAGAAAAAAAAGCTAATGGCACCTGCTTCCTTTCTCCCGGAGGCGGCGGGGACATGTCTCTTCTGGTACAGACCCTGTCATAGGCACAATGTAGGGGCCATGATGAACCATCTGCAGAGTTTGGCTTCTCTGCCCCAGGACCAAGGAGCTACATGATGCATGGATTGTTCCACCCCTTCCGTGGTTAGTTTCTCTCCTCCCTCCCTAACTGCAGACTTCTGGAACTCTGTCCGTCCTTGCACTTGCATCCTGCATGAACCACAGCTACTCCAACTCTAGCAGCAGCAAAGACGGTATCTTAGGAGCTGCTGAGGTGTGTGGAGTCGCTGTGTGGCCAGAGGAAGCCTCCTGACCTCTCTGAGCTTCCTTCCTCCACCTTCTCTTAGAAATGGTATCTGAGTGTAGTGGTTCTTGCCAGTCATCCCAGTGCTCAGGGTGACTGAGGCAGGAGGACTGCCATGAGTTTGAGGCCAAACTGAGCTACACTGTGAATTCCATATAGCTCAGCCTGGGCTGCAGAGTGAGTGCCTGCCTCGTAAAAATCAAACATAAATATAAATAAGGTATATATATATAATATGTAACATGGGAATGTTTATACTACCCTCCTGGAGTCCAGGGGAGGGCCAAATGGGAACTGTGATCATCTCTCACCCCTTGCCTGCTCACTACCACTGATGTCTACCCCAGCACTTTGCCCAGGGAGTTTAGCAGCTGGGCAAACCCATCCAGTGTTCACAAGGCCCACAGCCCTGTGGTCAGGCCACTTTCTTCCAGATGGCATGAGTTGCTTTCTGGCAGAGGATGGGAGACTCTTCTCCCAGACGTGAGGCTAAGGCAAAGCTCATCCTTCCTCGTCCCCCACACCAAGACAAGTCCAGGGCACACTGTTCTCTCTGCAACCTCATCAATACCCTGGAAGGAGCTGAAATGCATGCCAAAGCTGTTTGCCCACACGCGGCCCATGCTACAACAGCCCTCACGCAGGCCAGCCCTCCCTGAGGCAGTATCCCAGAAATGTCACCCTGAGTCCATCCGGGGTTCAAACCCAGAGCCACCTCTTTTGTCCTTTACTGGCCCAAAGCGTGTCCTTTGAGCACAGGCTCCAAAATGAGGCCAGAGTGGTCTTTTCATAATGCAGACTTTGACCTGCCACACCCCCATTCAATTGTCTCCAAAGGTCCCGGTTACTCTGGTGTCCGACGGTCACCCCTGATGTGGTCCCTCGGTGCCTGACACCCACTTGCCTTGCGCTTCATCCTTTGTGACTCCGTGCACGGGCTGCCTTGTGGCCCCGCTACATCCTGAGTTCTCAGGCTCCATCTACCTGAGGCCATGCCCCATGCTTTGAATAATTCTTTTTCCCTCCTCAGACT